TTGTCACAGTGGGACTAACACACCCAGATCATGTGACTCCTGCATGTATACAGTCAATCAGACCCAAACTGGCCGAGACGCTCTGAGCATGCTCCACAGTTTCCGCCCCGGGCTTTGACCCAGAAGTCCAATAGCATTAAATGTGTAAGAGAAGAAGAAGCTAGCTAACCGTAGCTAACTTGTTTGTCCATTGTTTGGTCTGTGACGTAATAGGTCAACAGGAAAAAGGTCCAATACTAACAAGCTGAAAGGGGGCATATCTCCACCTATCGTAGAGGAGTCGCACATACTTGGCTCAATAAATGGATTCCCCTCCCGTGCTTGTTTACTGGGACAAGGACAGTAGGCCAGTTAAATGTCCTTGTCCAGCTAAAATAAAAGTTGAATCAATGAAATAAATAAATGTCTCAAAGCTAAAAAAGATTCTCTCTGATATCCGACTTGGAAATCTTTAATTCACACTCAGAATCCAGCAGCTGTTGAGGAAGTGAACTGATCTCACCTCCTAAAGTCTAACACAGTAACTGTATGTGTGTGTGTGTGTGTGTGTGTGTGTGTGTGTTTGACTCACAGCTCCTCCAGGAAGTGCAGGTTGGTCAGAGCTCCGCTGGACAGCACAGTCAGATTATTCATACTGAGATCCCTGCAGAGACACAGAGAGGAGTGACTGTTAACGCCAGGAAGTATTTACATCCTTTACTGCAGCAAAAGTACTAAAACTACACTGTGAAAATACTCAACTGCAAGTAAAAGTCCTGCAGTGAAAATGATACTTGAGTAAATGTACTTAGTTACATTCCACCGCTGGTTAATGTCCGCTCACAGCTGTCTGTTCAAACACTCCATGATTTGTATTCAGTAAATAAAGTGACAAATAAATGAATAAACAAACATTATATACATTTAAATAATTAAACTTTCAGGATAAAGAATAATGTTCGTATTAATTTATTTGCTGTACTGAAGCTTTTATAAACGACCATGAACAGAAGAGACATTCAAACAAGATACAAACTGTTGATTAGAAATAAAAACACTGAACTAACAAACTCATTAAAGAGACATAAAACACACAGGTTCATTCAACACTTAACGCACACACACGTTTCACATGTAAAAACATTTAGTTTGACAAAGCATCCAGTCATACACCAACACACACACTCACACACACTCACACACATGCCTTCAAAGAGCCGCTGAGAGTCAACACACACACCTGAGTGAGAAACAAGACGGGAGTGGAAGTTACTGGAAAGAGACGGAAAGCAGGATATAAAAAAAAGAGTGAATGAAACCAGTTTGTCTTCAGAGGTGGAAGAAGTACTCGAGTAAAAGTACTAATACCACTGTGTAGAAATACTCTGTTACAAGTAAAAGTCCTGCATTCAAACATTTACTTAAAATGAGACAAATAATTCAACACGTTAATAAAAAGCTGTGTATTTAAAGAAGGACGCATATTTAAACTCTATTTTCGATACACATCAGGCTGAGGTGGATTTTCTGAACATTTTTGTGTAAGACCTCGATACACAAACCTGCCGCACAGGGCCGCCCATAAGGAGGAAACGTTATAAAGCTCTCTGGGGCCCAGCTGCTAGGGGGGCCCATAGCAGCAATAATCATGTTCATCCTTCACATAAGCAGTTTTACTTGGAAACAAAATATTCACCAGTCACCAAATTTAAAACAACAACAAAACAAACAAATAAAATCTGAGGGTTGAAGCCCTTTCAGCCAACAGCAGGAAGCAGCTGCTGCAGCAGGTTTTCAGCTTCACTTGGCTGAAGTCACATCATCAACATCACCATAAACATTACCCAGCATTCATCATTGCATATCTGACAAAAATATGAAAGAAAACAATAAATTAATAATCTAATTGAGTTATTTTTTACGTATAATTATAAATTTTATATCTTAGATTTTAAAAAAGTATATAATTTTGTTTTAGATAGTTAAAGGGATAGTGCACCCAAAAATGTAAATTCAGCCATTGTCTACTCACCCATATGCCGAGGGAGGCTCAGGTGAAGTTTTAGAGTCCTCACATCATTTGCAGAGATCCAAGGGGAGAGGAGGTAGCAACACAACTCCACCTAATGGAGGCTGACGGCGCCCCAGATTCAAACGTCCAAAAACACATCATTGAAACCACAAAATATCTCCATACTGCTCGTCCGTAGTGTGCAGTATGGAGATATTTTGTGGTTTCAATGATGTGTTTTTGGACGTTTGAATCTGGGGCGCCGTCAGCCTCCATTAGGTGGAGTTGTGTTGCTACCTCCTCTCCCCTTGGATCTCTGCAAGTGATGTGAGGACTCTAAAACTTCACCTGAGCCTCCCTCGGCATATGGGTGAGTAGATAATGGCTGAATTTTCATTTTTGGGTGCACTATTCCTTTCAGGACTTCTTATAAAAAGAAAAAAGAAAACCATGATGTAGATGAGTTCCCTTTTTGGGAACATATATAGCAAATGGCATCATTTATAAATTAATAATATTCTTTTTTTTTTTATCATATCAACACAGGAATATTTCCAAGGTGGTAATCTGAATCACTTGCAAGGCCCCGCTATCTCTACGGGTTCCTCCACCCCAGGGGCTGCAGTGCAATCACACTACCTGCACTGTCAATATTTAAGTCCCTGAGTCAAAGTACCATGCCAGAATTATATTATATTAATGTATTCTAATTATTGATGCGTTAAGTTTTTCATGCCCTCTTATCTGTTGTTGTCAATGTAGATGCACTGAAGCTGTGCCAAAAAGAGTGAGTGACACCGTCACAGTGCACAAGTGCTCCTAAGCACCTGATATTTGGGGCACAGTGGCTTGAGATTAACAAAGTTTAACTTTTGAAACTCAGCAACCAATCACAGCTCGCAGATCTCTTTTCTTTCTTCTACATAAAATCAGTCTGTGGTGAGGTCGGAGAGGTTGATCATTTTTGTGCAGAGATACCCAGAGCTGTACATCTGTATTATATTTTAATACATTCATTTTCTGTAAGTGCTTATCCTGTTTAGGGTCGCAAGGGGGTGGAGCCTATCCCAGCTGACATTGGACGAGAGGTCACCGGACTATCACAGGGCTGACACACAGAGAAAGATGACCATTCACTCTTGCGGTCAATTTAGACTCACCAGTAAACCTTGATGTCTTTGGACTGTGGGAGGAAGCCGGAGCACCCGACACGGGGAGGACATGTGAACTCCACACAAACTCCATCACTGAGTTTGAACCAAAAACCCTCTCGCTGTGAGGCAACAATGCTAACTACTGTACGACCGTGTCGCCCTATACTTTAATACAAACTTAAAAAACAACACGTGGGAGACAATCAGGTCCAAACTCTGGATTTCCTGGTGAGTAGGTGCTGATGGTCGCTTAGCAACCTGCCTCTGCGTTCTTGAAAGTTGGCTCAGGGAATCGGCGAGTGCTCGACCTCATGTTTTCCAGGCTGTAAAAGACGCAGCGTGTGTCCCGGCCATTAATGTGTTCATCACTTTAATGTTGCAGCTGGTGAAGGTGGAGCTCGTTTTATGGACTTTATATAAAGCTGAGTGGATTAATCTGTGATAACACATCATTATTTTTAATTGATTTTATATTCTGTATTAATTATCTGAATCTAAGTAACTAAAACTGTCAGATGAATGTTGTGCAGTAAAAGTAAAATATTTCCCTCTGAGATGTCGAGCTGAAGTAAAAAGTAGCATCAAATGGAAATACTTAAATTTGTGCTTAAGCACTTGAGTAAATGTACTCAGTTACTTTGCACCATCAAAAACAAACTGGTCTCTGAAGGTGTTTTCAGGTGCAGGTGAGACAAGGTGACATCACAGCCTCTGATTGGACATGATGTCCTCTCATCTTATCTGCCCCTCTTCTGTCTTTGTGTCGTCTGATAACTATCGGCAGGTAGCGTCTCTCCACTCAGGAGGCCTCGAGTCTGAAAGGAAGTGGAGACAGACTGTCTCTGTCCAACACACACACACACACACACACACACACACACACACTGAGGGTGTGTCTGCAGGTTGAATACACTGGTTGTTAAGAAACTTTCTCAACACTCCATAAAGCCTGTTAATGTATGTGTGTGTGTGTGTGTGTGTGTGTGTGTGTGTACAACAGCTACACACACACACACACACACATACAGAAAGTGGTTTGTTAGGACTTATTTTAGCAGAACGTTCCTTTACTCTGAGCAGACTAACAGCGTTACGGCTGAGTGGCTTTTACTGCTTCAACATACACACACACACACACACACTCATTAGACGGCACGCTCTGTAACATTCTCTACATGTGGTCACATATAAACAGTCACAGAGCTGGAAATCAAACCAGGTACATTTACTACAGTAAAGTTTTGAGGTATTTTACTTAACTTTTCACTGCATCTAAAATGAGCTCCACCTTCACCAGCTGCATCATCTGTATCATCTCTAGTCAACAACTCTCTGTGCTTCTGATCTGTAACGCTGACAGGAAGTGACCACCATGAGACGGCGTATCATCTCTAGTCAACGACTCTCTGTGCTTCTGATCTGTAACGTTGACAGGAAGTGACCGCCATGAGACGGCGTATCATCTCTAGTCAACGACTCTCTGTGCTTCTGATCTGTAACGTTGACAGGAAGTGACCGCCATGAGACGGCGTATCATCTCTAGTCAACGACTCTCTGTGCTTCTGATCTGTAACGCTGACAGGAAGTGACCACCATGAGACGGCGTATCATCTCTAGTCAACGACTCTCTGTGCTTCTGATCTGTAACGTTGACAGGAAGTGACCGCCATGAGACGGCGTATCATCTCTAGTCAACGACTCTCTGTGCTTCTGATCTGTAACGTTGACAGGAAGTGACCGCCATGAGACGGCGTATCATCTCTAGTCAACGACTCTCTGTGCTTCTGATCTGTAACGTTGACAGGAAGTGACCGCCATGAGACGGCGTATCATCTCTAGTCAACGACTCTCTGTGCTTCTGATCTGTAACGTTGACAGGAAGTGACCGCCATGAGACGGCGTATCATCTCTAGTCAACGACTCTCTGTGCTTCTGATCTGTAACGCTGACAGGAAGTGACCGCCATGAGACGGCGTATCATCTCTAGTCAACGACTCTCTGTGCTTCTGACCTGTAACGCTGACAGGAAGTGACCGCCATGAGACGGCGTATCATCTCTAGTCAACGACTCTCTGTGCTTCTGACCTGTAACGTTGACAGGAATTTGCAGCTTTTCAGACTTTTTTTGTGGAGGATGATGATGATGATGGTGGCTGTTGTGCTTCAACAAAACATAAATCTGCTCCTTTGATTACCCTGCTGGCTGTGACCTATGATGTCATATGACCTCACATATTTACTTGATGCTCAGATTATTCTAACAGCAGAGCTTTTATTTTGAAACCACTGGAATCATCATCAGTACTTCTATTCAGTATGTTTCTGTATATCATCACTTGTTCACACAGTTCTGTCACGTATTCCTGTTGGAACATGATGAGCATGATGACGTTTGTTATACTGCAGATGGAAGTTCATACGTCTCTATGGACGTTTCGGTCTCTTTTTATTTGAGTTATGTTGTACAAGGGAGCGTTAGTGCCTAAAAATGTGCACAAA